ATTTGTTGAAGAATTTATCCTAAGTGCACGCATAATTCTGTCTTTTAGCATTGTAAATGATATACCCTCATCAACGATAAGTGGCCGATTTTGTCCACCAATATACCAATACGCAGCTCTCCGCCATAAAATAGCATTAATCGTGACATGCTACCCAAATATAAAGATAGTTGATAGTCAATGCCAAGAATGCCATATATTTCTAAAGTTCTTTATTATACATAGTGCTTGCAATAAAAGAAATGTAAATGCATTTTAATCAATAATATGAACATTAGATTACTACGATATGACTTGATATTTGTTAACTTATACAGCTTGTTTTTGGCCTTAACTATTTAGTCTTAATAATTCTGCATAGATTGGGATTTGACTAAAAATCTAACCTTATCAAAGATTTCAAGGTAACTATTTATCTCAACATGTTCACCAAACCGATTGACCGATTTGCCTATATATATATATAAATTTGTTGTTGTAACTTCATAGCATGCCACCATAGTTTCAATAACATTTGACACTCTTGTGATGAGAAATAAATAAGCATCTCTATACTCATTAAATATATGAATTTATGAAAATTAAGATTTAAGAGTGCGTTTAGGATAATTGTACTTTTCCTAAAACTATATTATTATAATATTTTCATAGGGCAAATCATTTATTAAAAAGTTATTGTGAAGAAAATTAAATTAACATCCATTTTTGTTCTAAAAAAGCAACTAAATAAAAATTGTGGCAGCATTTTTTTGCAACATTACACCTCAAAAGAATATTTCTATATGAAATAAGAAATTGTCTAAGATATTATTAAAATAGTTTTTTTTTTTTTAAGTTTTGGCATTGAAATTTAAGCTCTATTTAGGATATTTTTTTATCATTATTTCTTCATAAAATATTTTTTAAAATAACTTTGTATTACAAAACGCTGCACCACAAGCTCCCCATTGAAGCTATTGATGACAATGTAGTACGTTGATAGTTGTAATAATTTTCAATGCCAAAAATAACAAAAATATTTTTAAACAGCTTAAAATAAAGGTTTTTTTAATAATACTACTATTCTAAAATCTAAGTGAAACATTAATTTACTAAATAGCATAAAATTTTCAATAGCATAAAATTTTTAAACAGCTTAAAATTTTCATATCAAGAAAATATTATCTTACTTAATTTAAATAAATATAAATTAATAAATATTAAAAATTAATATTTTTAATTAGAAGATAAAATTACATTAATTTATCTAGTTAAAAATAGTTTTATTACGACTTCTAAAGTGAGCGCACAAGCATCTCCATATCTCAAAAACGTGGGCGCACAAGCATATATCTTTTACTGGTTCCTCATTAGGTCCGGAGATTTTGAAGCTTTTTAACTGTTTTGCACCATATTTTGTTTTCAATTTTTTAAGTATTTTATTTATTATTCTGTTCTCTCTCTCTTTATTTCATGTGTTTTATCATTTTCTCTTTTAGGTTGGATTCTGTTTTGATGAAGGTTTTCAGAAAGGTGTCTTCCTTATGCTGTCTTATTTGCGCTCGGCTTCCATTTATGGCTACATGGTTGAGAGAGCTATCATGTTTCACAATTTTATTAATGTTTGTGATTACAGAAGAATGCTTTTTTTTCCCCTCCTAACTTAACAACTTAAAAGAATAATTATTCTTTTATAATATTCATCCATATTTCCTTAGAATTTTTACAGTTCTTATATTATCATAGAAATACTTGCCTCCCTATTAAACGTAGGAGGATTATAGTCTATGTCGTCCAGGGGCTATGCTAAACCTAGACTCAAATATTATAAGACCAAATTTATAAGATTATTATTATTATTATTCATTATTAAATTTTAAAATTTATTGGAGTAATTATATTATTACAAATTATTATTTTTTAATTTAACCAATTATATGCGAAAATCAATAATTTCTTAAACTCTACGTACTCTAGTAAATGCTAGCAAACCATTAGTGTTAATTCAGAAAATGGCTTAAGTTGCCTACTTCTAGGGACATAGGCTATTACAGCATGCCAATATAATCAAGCTTATTTTATAATAATATTATTAATATATATATAATATATATATTATATATATATATAATACTATATATATAATATATATATATATAATATATATATATAATATATTATATATATAATATTATTACATAACTTTGATGTTAATTGTTTGCTACAAAACTTTGCATAAAACAGAATATATTATTTCTTGAAAAATGCAAGGTAGCAAAGTTTATATTAATTACTGCTACGAGACTTTGGCATTCAAGATATATTTACAATTTGACTGTTTTTTAAAGGGCTAGCTATGCTAAGTTTTTTTTCTAAAATGAAACATATGTTAGCTAAGTTTTTTTATTTTTTCCACTTCAAGAACTTTGCTACAGTACATTGAATCTTGAATTCCTTCAAAACTTTAAAAATAATCTTGCTAAAAAAAAAATTACAGTTTTCATTTGGAAAGTTTTTTAAACTAATAATCTTCAGATTAAAACAAAGTTTTTATTTTTAGTTTCACTTTCGATTTCTATCCTCATCGCTATAAAGTTTTTGAAACAATGAATTTGGCCTATAATTAAACCTTTGCTTTTTTGCATTCTTTTGAAACTATTAAAAAAAATTTAAAACATTTCAGACCGTTTAAAAACATTTGAAGCAATGTTTGAAGGCTTTAATCCGCCTTGACTTCGTCAATATTCTGGGTGTTAACATATACGAGCATTTCTTAAAATAAATTTTATACAAATGCATTTTTATAATTTTAATCAAAAATTAAAAGACTTCAGATATTTACCATTTCTTAAAACAAATTAAAAAAAAACTAACATATGCTCATGATTATATTAGTTCAGTTCATCTTCTTTAATTCCACTTGCACAAAATAATTTGAACTAAATCAGGAAATTAAGTTAAACAAAATTCAAACAATATAACTTAATATCAACAAAATAGGATAAATTGAAATATAAATTGTAACATATACATCAAAATGTAATACACTTAATTGAACATCATCAAAATACAATTTTGCTTCAACAAATATAACCTAACAACTAAAAAATAAACACTAAAATATTTAACATAAAAAATTTAATGAAACTAAATATATATATATATATATATATATAAGTACTTTAAATTCGTATCTGAAGCTTGCGGAACACTTTGCTTGAGGAACTGTGAGGAAATTCAAAACGCCACTCTCCTCTTTTATAAGCCAAACCACCATTTTTTTTAAATTGGCCAAACCACCTTCAACTCTGCATTATTTCCCACCATCCAACACTCGCCTCCAACCAACCGCAATTATTTCAGAGCAAATTTAGGATCTTCTCCCTGCCACAGACAAGAATTCGCAGGCGAAAGAAATTGATGTGCACCAACTCATACCCCCTGAATGCGCGGTTGATTTTAGCGCATTCTACTGAATGCGCTACCTGCTTCAGTGCATTCTATAGAATGCGGGAAATCCTTCTCACCTCACCAATGAAAAATTGAAAAATGTGTTTATTTGATTGGCGCGCGCATTCAAAGAATGCGCCATTCTTTTCGGTGCATTCTTTGAACGCGCCGAACTATTTAGCTCATCCGCACGTTTATAAATTATTTTTGATAAGTTGCTCATTCCAATAAATGAAATTTACAACATGCTGGTTTCGAATATTTTGCCTAATATACTTAGTCTTGAGCTGATTAGAATTGCAAGTAAACAGTTGATTGAGTTTCTGAAATATTAGTACACACAGAACAAAACACAATATTCAAATACAGTAGAAAGCAATATCATATATAATAATATTTGTTATCATTAAAATACAATCATAGTGCTTAGATTAGATATGCAACACTCAAAATTTTGATTTGAAACAAATATACCATGAGATTAAAAGCTTATACAAATGATTTTAGGTTTTCAAAGGTGAAAAGCTAGATGATAATGAATAGCTTTTGTCTTCTCCATCAATCTAAGGCTTCATATAAGACAATTTTTTGTTACTTTTTAAAATAACATTCTAGTACAAAAACTTTTTAAATTAGAAATTTTTGTATTAAAAACCATTTTAAAAAAACAATAAAAAAGATGTTTCAAATGAAATCTAAGTCTCTTATCCACTTGTCTTGATGACTTTTGACAATTGACTTAAATGATCAAATTGATTTTAACTCATTTAACTTTTATGTTTTTATAAAATAGGTGATATTTTAACGCATTTTAAGTTTAGAATTATTTATTAGATTTACCTATTTTTGTCTAGTTCCTTTCTTTTTAGGTCAATATATATATATTTTAATTTGTTTTAGAAATACAAATTTTTGCTGTGCAACTTGAAAAATTTTAAGATATTGTTGAGTTTTATTTTGGCACTTACCCATATATAGTATATATATTATACTATTATTATATTAGGGCAATTGAGTCATTTAGACAGTGATTAGGGTTTTGAGTTGCTATAAAATGAAACTCTGGACACCGACCTCTGAGAACTAAAGAAAGGAGACCGCTTCGTCTCATCTTTTTTTCCGGTGAGCAGATAGCTAATTTTCTCTTGCTTGATAGTTAATTTCCCTTCTTGTTTTAAGATGACGGCTTTTCACTTTATAGAATAGCTTCAAGAATTGTTCTTCCAGCAAATTGGTAGATGCTTCATCTAAAACACATTTTGATCTGCGAAAAAAATCATCTGAGCTTTATTATATGCTATGGAATTGGGTACGGATGTTTTTTTTCGACCTTCGATTGTTTCAGCACGTTTAGGTCCGAATCAACTTTTGATACTTGTTCTGAATTGATAGTGTGCCCTTATTTGAGGTTCTCTTATGTGAGATTTTTTTTTTTTTTTTATTTGGGTTCATTCTCTGAAAGCTTTTCCTTCGTCATGATGTCTGAACTTATATGGAAGCATTATTTTGTATGCTCATTTAACTCTTTTTTTTCATTTTATATGTAGCTATTTTATTATGTTTGTAGCCTATAATTAAATATTTTGTCTTTTGTTTTTCCCAGCCTTGCAGCTACAATGGCTACTGTTTCTGAACCCCTTATTTGGGAAATTGTTAGAAATAACAATGCCTTTCTTGTGAAGCAGTTTGGAAATGGTAATGCTAAGGTACAGTTTAGCAAGGAGAAGAACAACCTTTATAATATCCATTCATTCAAGTACTCTGGCAAGTAATCCCACTATTTTTAGCTTCCTATCACCTAACTTGTTTAGGAGATTATTCTTCCCTCTTTGCAAATAATAGGTTTGGCAAACAAAAAAACAATCTCCATTCAACCAGGAGGAAAGGATCTCAGTGTTGTTCTTGCGACTTCAAAGAAGAAGCAGCAGAACAAGCCGGCTAGTGTTTCCCACAGATCCTTACTGAAGAAGGAATTCAATAAGATGGCAAAGGCTGTTACTAATCAGGTGAACCCTTTGAAAGTACAAGTGATATGAGCTTTGTTTTAATTTCCTTTGAAAATTTCTATAGTTTAAGTGATATAATTATATTCCATAGGCTATGTGATGTAAATTTTGAATTTTTTTTTTTTTATGAATATTGAAGGTATTTTATATCATCTAGATTTCATGATTTTATGATGATTATTCTAGTCAATGTTATTGAGTTTATTAGTAGTTTGTTGGCAGTTTGTTTATAGTTTGTTAGCGTTATTAGCTGTTTTTCAGCAAATTATTAGTTTGTTAGTAGTCTGCTATTTCTTTTATCTATTAATTTTAGTATTCTGAGTCATTTAAGATAATATTAAGGTGTGAATACAATTTTATGTTATATTTGAGACAATTTTCATCTATTTTGGTATTGGATCTTTGATCATATGCGAGATTTGAAGCCCTTTTGTGATCTTTTTTTGTTCTGGCATAAGGCTTTCTTATCTTGTCTATTTTTTTTTTGTTCTGGCATAAGGCTTGCTTATCTTGTCAATTTTATTGGTCTTTTTACCATTTCCATTTTTATCACCCTTTCTAATTTTGTTTTTTTCAAAACCAACCTTCAGTGCTAGGGTACTTTTTATAGCATAGTCCTTTTCGAGTTGTTTATCAAACATATTGCTGATATTTCATTTCCGTTGAAGTTTATTTCTTTTACTTTATTGTTGAGGATGACATTTTGTTTTTGTTTTTCCGAGTCTCCAAGCTTATTTGTTGGTTTTGTTTAGGCATACAGGTTTTGACACAACTTATTGCAATTGTTTGCTTATTAAGTTTTTAGCTAGGTGATGTAGAGATGTCACTGAAGCATATTGAATATGTGAGGAGTCTAGAGAGTTGTATTAAAAATTAAAATTAAAGATTGGTAATTGTGAGATGGTTGGGTCAAGTGGGCTGAATGTGGGCTGAATGTGAGGTCTCATTGAGTGAGTTCTACTGAGCTGTGCATAATTCTAAATTAACATACTTGAGTTTAGCCTGTCAAAATTTATCATATTGATTCAACTTAAGTTGAAATGATCAACTTTATTTTGAGTTGGCTCAAAATCATGCTTTAAGTTATGCTTGAACATTAAACAGCTCTTAAAAATTTATTGATTAAGGTTTATTAGCTGCAGAATGGAATAAGCTAAGAGTTGTAAATTTCTTTAAATGGAATCTTTAAGCATCACATATGGAAAAATATTGTAAATCAATATTGAATACTTTTTCGTTAATCATATTAACATTCAAGTAGTAAAACAATATAATATTGCAACGATACAATGTTGCAATGGAGTAGGCATGCTACACCTAACCAGAATATGCGGCTATCGAGGATTAATAAATTCAGATATAAATAGTTGGGTTATGGTCATTGTTACTGATTAAGATGATTTATTGGTATATCTTCGACAATCTAAGTAGGAAATTATTTAGTTTAGGGTTATTAGGAGTCAACTTAAACCATTTGGAGGAAAAACTTCATACATATATAAATTTTTGATGCCCCAATCAATTGCCTTTTACTATCCTTGTGACGAAGGATGTTTGTTCTATGCTTCCTATTAACTCTTATTAGAAGCCTTGCCACATGATTCTGCGGTTCAGGTGAACTCTGATTAACTTTATGAGGATTTTGCTCACCTCCCTTTGATTAGTGTATTGACAATGCTTTCCCCTAGTGCCTATTATGGGGATTGACATGAGTGGGCACTCCTGTTCCTCTCATTATTATTCCAATCACACCACTTAGCAAACATCCTATGATGAGCTTGGTGAGATTTCTATTGATAAAGGTTGGTGTTTGATTTGAGTTAAATCTCTTAAGCTCTCTTCCCCTAGTCATGTAAACATTTTTCAGTGGTTTGAACGTTGAATTGGAGGATTATTTAAGTCTTTATTTTTTTGATTCTTGGATTCATTCTGAGTATCCAAGGATTATTTCCTCTACAAGAAAGGCAAAGGAAAAAATAAAATATACATCAAGTTGCCTAAGATATTGGGTTTTCCATCCATGATCTTGTTGATTCTTCATTTACATCATAAGTGGGTTACATTTGTTGGTACTTGTACCTAGTCTCGGGTAATAGTTTTTTTTGGCGCTTGCAGTCATTTTTGCTCTCGCGACATCCACCTTTGGATTCAGTCTTTTTGCTCTTGCCACACCCATTTTTGGCGTTATTCTTTTTTCCAAGATTGTATTTTTCTTATTCAAATGCTTTTATTTTGTTTTTAGGAGTTATTAATCTACTTGTTTTTCCTTATCTTTAGCTCTTATTCTTGTCTATCAGTTTGCCTTATGAATTTTTTTCTTGCTTTAACTATAAAATCTTAAAATCTTTACATGATCAAATAATAACGGTTTTGCATATATCCCTTTTATTTCCCATATAACATTTGCTATGATGAGCTGTTAACATGTAAGAAGACCTTTTCTTCGGATCAGCTCTTCAATGAAATATCATTGTTACGCTTGGCTTCTGAGCTTTGTTATCTGACTTTTAACTTATCATGTTTATTTATATTCGCTACTTTTTACGTATTGAGGAACTTTTTTTTTTGTTTCCAGGTATAATTGCCTCTGGTAAGTTGAGATTCTTTCTTGTAGTGGTTTTTCTTAATGAAGTTCGGTAAAGAAACATAAAAAGGTCTATGAAAGAGATTATATGATCACATGCAACTTCGGTTGTGTAAAACTCTCGTTCTACTTCTAAAATATCATTGCTGTGATGAGCTGTTAACACGTAAGAAGGCCTGCTCTTTGAATCAGATCTTCAATGAAATATCATTGTTACGCTTGGCTTCTGAGCTTTGTTATCTAATTTATTCATGTTTATTTGACGAGTCTTGTTTTTTGACAAGTATTAGCTACTAGTTTGAAGCTTTGAGTTACATATTTTGCTGCTGAGTACTTTTTGACTTTATTAAGGTGCGTCTCTTTCCTTGTTGCAAACCAGTTTTGACGAGTCTTGGCATTGAAAAATAGAAAGAGTATGGAACTATGTACCGTGAAATTCTTTTTTCATTTTTTTTATTTGATTCCTTTTATTTCTTCAGCTATTTTGCTTGTATTCCTGCATTCTGCACCTTTCTTTTAAAGTTTTAATAGTTTATTATCTTGTTCTTTTTCCAGGTATCAGATAACTATTACAGACCTGATTTGACAAAGGCAGCTCTTGCTAGGCTAAGTGCTGTTCATCGGAGTCTCAAAGTTGCCAAATCGGGCCCAAAGAAGAGGAATCGGCAGAGACAGCCTCTGCCTAAGGCTATCTAAACTTGATAATTTTCTGCTGTTAGATCTGAGGCCTATCATTTCCTATATTGTGTCCTATATTGTCGATTGTCTGGTAATGGAATCAGTTGCACCTTCAATTTTTATTGAAGGTATGTTATATGTTCCCTCGTTGAGAATGATGCATGAATGCTTTATAGATCTATCAAATTGTTTTTTTTTTTCATGAGACTGCTATTCATATTTTATTTTTTACTTATGTTCTTTTTGCTCATAACTCTTGTGATTCATTTTTTTTTTTCTGCTTCGTGTTGATGTGATGAGCAATCGTTATTATAGTTGATATGTGAAGTTGGTGATTTTTTTTATGAGGAAGCACTGTATTTAGGCTAGTGAAAATTCCGGTCGACCTAGTAAGCAACTCACACCAATTTACACGGGTCAACATTTAAGGTTTTCACTGTTTGCCAAGGGATTCGAAGCAGGGACTTGAGCTTTACCCAGCCAGCTCTTCATCACCCGGACAAATAACGGTGGGTGAAGTTGGTGATCTCATCTCATGCATTATAGAAGCATTAATGGATGTTTATCATCCATCTATTCATAGACTATTTAGTAAGCATCCCTGTTGCCTGCGCTGTTTTATGCAATTTAGTACTTGAATGTATGATTTTTTACTTTTGGATGTCACTACTGTCCACCCTCTGTTTCGTGCTGCTTATTTTGCTGAGGATGGAGGCAGATAAGTTGCATTGGCGATTCTTTGCCTCTTTTTAGAGGATCAGGGAGTAGCATATCCTAATAAAATCACCTTCAGTTGCCTCAGATCATGATACTTACGTTCCTCAATGAATAGAAGAGAAAAGTGATATTAGATTGAAATTCAAAACAGAATCTTTTAAGATGGGTGGAAAATGGCTGAGGCTGGAAAATAAAATTTTAAGTTGATTTAATTGGAAAGATGCTCCGCAGCTAAGGAGTTGCTTCAGTTGTTTTCCCAGTACTAGAATGAACTATCAGGACTTGAGGCTAATTTATTTGGAAATGAAGGAGATTTTGAACGAGGAATTTGCAAAACCGATGAGGTTTCATAAGTTCCAGCACAACCTATGTGGTTTCTACAACAACTGCGAAGAATTAGCAATGGGTAAAACATTCATCCGAGCCAATCACCCTTCAAATGACTTCTCAAAACAATTTCCTTGTTGCTATGCGTGTAATAGTTTGAAAGCATTTGTGAAATTGACTATGAAAGCTCTCGCCAAAGAGCCATCTGTTGGTTCTTTATATTCATCTATAAAATCGGAAATAAAAATTAGGATTTAGAAAATTAAATTGAGATTGTCAATTTTAATTTTCTTGAAAAATAATTATTTTTTAAATATGAAATAAAGAAAACTTATCGAAATATTGATTAAGATTATAAATCTTCTCTTCGAAACATTGATTGAGATTGTAATTCTTTTTTTTCTAATCACTTCACAAAATATAATTTAGTGAGTGAGTAACTTTAATCAATTATTGATGAACTCTTTTTTATTTAAATGCAATTTGTGTTCTCAACACAATTTCGTGCTTTAAAAAGAAAATATTAAGAGACTAATTTTTTTCATCTATCTTTTGTCTCTCATGTATAATTTAATTTATTCTTTTATAAGAGAAGTTCACATCTTTTCAATTTGAATCCTTTTTTTCATAAGCACTTTTTTGTAATTCATGAAATATCATTTTATCTATATTAAAATGATATTTTTCATGATATATCATCATTTTTATCTTTAATGACACATCAACATCTTTACCTTTTAATATTAAAAGATATTTATTATGACACATCTTCTCATGGAATTTTATATAATATAAATAAAAGGTATTCTAATAACATAAAAGTGTTACTAATGTAATCATAATTTTATATTTATATTATGCTACATTTTTAACAATAGTATTCAATTAATATATAATAGCACTAATGTGATGAAGAAGGAATATATGGATCTATAATTCAAGCTCCAATAATTATAACCATTAATTTAACTCTTAAAATAAAGAAATTAAAATTATTTATTTCAATATTATTCCACTATAAAATTAAATTGCACTCTTGAATTATAATATAATTTATTAAATTTAAAGGATTGGATTGTCCATTGATTTAATCATTACATACAAAATAATCATCCATAAAAAAATCTATAATTAGTGCTAGATAATTCTGTTACCTCACTAATTACATCTTGATCCATGATTCTAATTAATTCTCTAATGAACAATAAATTTTGTGACTTTATCATAAAATTTGAGCGCTCAATTGTTCATGTGCTGAATTAATTATTCAACAACAATAACATCAAGCCTTTGTCCCACTACGTGGGGTCGGCTACATGAATCCTTTTTCGCCATTGCTTTCGGTTAAAAGTCAAATTCTCATTTAAATCTAATAAAGAAAGATCTTTTCTAATATTTAATAAATTTTTAACGGATCCATGTCATGATTATTCGACATGTTTTACGTTGGCTATTGACTACCTAACGTAACCCTCCACTTTCTCATCCAGGACTTGGGACCTAGCAACGGCAGTATTTTTGGATTAATTATTCAAATGAACTAATTTTCTAACTTTCAAAATGTAAAGGAATGGATTTCATATCTATATATTAATATTATCAGTAATTTGTTTAATTGTGTTTCTAAGATACAAAGATTGAATTTATATCTTTTAAACTATTTTCGAGTAAGTTAAAAAAAAACAAATGACACAAATAGAAGTTTATTAGTAACTCAGGATTAAGATTATTTATATATGATCATCTTGATGATTAATTTCAAAATTCTCTCTAATTAAAATAGAATTTACGAGAGAATTCAAAATTAATCTAGTCCAATTCTATATAATAATATTATATAAAGTACCACTATCCTTAATATATTCATATCGAATAATCCAGATAAGACTATTCAATTCTTAATGTTGATGGATCATATTAATAATATTTAATTATAGATTCTAACTATAATTAATAATTATGAACTTGTTTAGATTTTTATCCATAATTTAATCCTCTTTTATATAATTATATATTGAATTATGGTTATATAAATAATTATGAATAAATATAATGATAAAATAATATATTAAATGATAATATTCATACATGCTAAACTCACCTTTAAATATCTAATTCAATAGAAAATATATTACAATAATATTGATTTATGGTAAAATCCCTAACACCTTCACCCGTTGCAGATGTACTTAGGGCAAGCCTTCTTGCAAAACTACCATAGAGAGATTCATGATAGATACTTACTTCAATGGAGGTGGGGAAGGTGGTATCAATAATTTTGTGCCTTGGCGGTGTAACAACCCAATTCTATAATCTAAAGATATGACGGGTCATATCATATTGAATTTTGATAAACAAAATTCGAGATTGAAGTGTAGGAGATTTTTTTTTTTATTTCTTTAATTTAAACATATTATAAAGCAACTAGTTACTGAGAAAGGAGCTTCTTGAACAGAGAAGCCAGTAGATAGAACCAAGACGAAAGAGAAGGAAAAGATAATATTTTATTGAATGAGATACAATTGTTAATACAAGTATGAGTATATATATACAGCTTTAGGTAGAGCGATAAATACACAGCCGTAAATATGTGATATATGCTAATACCCTCCCGCAAATTAAGCATTCGAAGGTCGAATGTTTAATTTGTCTCGTAGAGCATTGAACCGAGAGATGGAGAGTGGTTTGGTGAAGATGTCGGCGATCTGATCATTTGAGGAGATGTGGAGGAGTCGAATGGTGTTGGAGCTGATGTGTTGGCGTATGAAATGGTAGTCAATCTCTATATGTTTCGTGCGGGCGTGAAATACTAGATTCTTTGCGATTGCGATGGCGGAGGTGTTATCGCAATGAATGGTGGTGGGTGTTTGTTGCGGTATTTGAAGCTCCTCGACGAGTCGACGTAACCATATCACGTCAGAAATAGCTGCTGAGAGGGAGCGATATTCGGCCTCTGTTGAAGACTTGGCAATGGTGGCTTGTTTCTTGACGGTCCAGGAGATGAGATTTGAGCCTAAGAAAGTGCAGTAGCCAGAGATTGACTTCCGGTCGGACGCATCGGCAGCCCAATCCGCGTCCGTGTATGTCCGCAGCTCAAGTGATCCGTTGGTGATAGGAAGACCGTAAGTAATGGTGCCTGTGATGTAGCGTAGTAGTCGTTTGAGAGCCTTGAAATCCTGTTCGGTCGGGGCTTGCATTTGTTGACAAACCATGTTGGTGGCAAATGCAATGTCCAGTCTTGTTATTGATAGATATTGGAGGGAGCCAGCCAACTTGCGGTATAATGTTGGATCAGGAAACAGAGAGCTAGTCGACTGCGCTGGCTTGGGGGTAGGTGCAACCGGCGTTGGTGCCGGTTTGCATTCATCGTATCCTGCGTCGTGGAGTATTTTTGAAGCGTAATGTTGTTGAGTAAGGAAATAGCCGTTTGAGGATTGAAGTACTTGGATTCCCAAGAAGAGCGAGATCTGCCCCAGTTGTTTGAGTGCGAACTGAGATTGAAGCTGTCCGAGAAGATGTTTGATCGCGGAATTGTCGTTTCCTATTACAAGAAAGTCATCGACATATATGAGAAAGTAAATTTGGGTATGATTTTTATGAAAGATAAGGAGTGAAGGGTCGGAACGACTAAACCCGAATCCTTGATTTTGAAGGAACGTAGTGAGCTTGTTGAACCATTGTCGAGGTGCTTGTTTGAGGCCGTATAAGGATTTGTGGAGCTTGCAAACGGCGTCAGGTTTGTTCGGGTCGACGAAGCCGGGTGGTTGACGCATGTAGACGTCTTCAGGAAGGTCGCTGTGGAGAAAGGCGTTTGAAACGTCGAGTTGATGGATAGACCATTTTCGGTTGAGAGCTATGGTTAACAGCATTCGTATCGTTGGCATTTTGGCGACCGGACTGAAAGTTTAGGTGTAATTTATACCGAATTGCTGATTGTAACCAAGAGCTACTAGTCTGGCTTTGAATCGATCAATCTGGCCGTTCGGTAATAGTTTCGTTTTGAAAGTCCATTTGCAGCCTAATACTGGCTTGCTCTATGGTAGGGGAACGAGCGACCAAGTGTGCTGGTTGTAGAGAGCTGATATCTCATCTGTCATGGCTTTTCTCCAGTGATCATATTTTGACGCCTGATTGAATGTGGTAGGGGTATATATGGCTGGGTATGAGTTGGGTAAGGAGATTGAAAATTTTCTTGGGTTTGATGATACCGGATTTTAGCCTCGTTTGCATCTGATGAGTTGGTTTGAGCGTAGGCGGGTGACTGCGGTCTTGGGAAGCCAGATTAAGTATGCGAGTAGCGGAGATTTGAGCTGGGGAAACAGGTTGGTTGGAGTCTTGGTGCGGGTTGGCTGTAGAGATTTCGGAATTGTTGTTGTGCTGGGCCGTGGGAGTGGGTATGAATGTGGTCGGTGGGAGTAGGAGAGGTGAGGCAGCAGTTGTTGAAGCTTGTTTAAACGTTGGGACAATAGAGGTAGGAGTTTTGAAGGGGAAAGTTTGTTCGTGAAACACAACGTGGCGAGAAATGTACGTCCGATTGCTGAAGGTGTTGTAGCATCTGTAACCTTTGTGTAATGGAGAGTAGCCCAAGAAGACACATTTCGTGGATCTTGGAGAAAGTTTGTTCGGCGAGTATGGTTTAAGCCACGGGAAGCAGAGACATCCGAAGGTGGTTGTATGTTGGCGGCTTTCTGTGTAGAACCTGTGAGGGAATCTGATTATGTATGGCTGTGGAGGGTAGATGGTTTACCAAATAGTGTCCCGTGGAGAGAGCATCAGCCCAGAATTTGTGCGGGATGCTGGAGGCGTGGAGTAATGCTCGGGTTAGCTCCTAGAGATGGCGATGCTTGCGTTCTGCAACTCCATTTTGTTCTGGCGTATGAGGACATGATAGCTGCTGTAGGATGCCGTTCTCATGAAGGTAGTGTTTGAACAGGTTACCAGTGAACTCCCCGCCTCCGTCCGTTCGGAGGATCTTTGGTGTCTGATTGAATTTATTTTTGATTAAGACACAAAAAGATTTAAATTTAGTTAGAGCTTCTTGTTTAGTATGCATTAAATACAGCCATGAATATCGTGTGTGATCATCAATGAATATGATATAGTAATGGTATCCATCAACCGAGGGCAGAGGAGCAGGACCCCAGACGTCAGTGTGGATTAATTCAAAAGGATGAGAAGTCATAAACTCATTTTGAAAACCTGTTTATGGCTCTTGGCCAAGTTACAAGAAACACATGAAAAAGAATTAGGTACAATCAGTATTTCGGGGAACTGTTTTGCTAGAGTGGTAATCACATGAGAGCTTGGATGACCAAGACGGGCATGCCACAGGCGAGCTGTCGGAGTGGACGCTGCGAGAGCAGTGTGTTGGGTAGCCGGTGAGGGATGAATTTGGTAGAGACTGTTATGCAGACGACCATGAAGAAGCAGGCGGTTGTCCTGGATATCCTTAATAACAAATCCGTTAGCATCGAAAGAAATTGAAATAGAATTGTCTTTAGTTAGTTTTGATACCGAGAGGAGGTTGTGCGTTAATGCTGGTAAATGAAAAAGATTTCGTAGGAAGAGCTTACGAGAGGTGTCAGGGAGCGGTAGAAGGCCTTGCCTGGTGTTATGGATCGGCATGGTGGAGCCATTTGCTGTGGAGACCGAGTCCGAGCCAGAGTAAGTCGTGGGGTAGAAAAGATTATTCGCATCCGGTGTAAGGTGCGTGGAAACACCTGAATCTAAGACCCAGTCTTGAGTAGTTGCAGACGGTGGGTTGGCAAGAAGAGCACGGGGTTGACGAGTGTCCGTGGGAGCGTATTTGTAATTGGAGCGATGCCAAAAATTGAGAGCTACGTGACCGAGTTTGCCACATATTTGACAGGTCGGCCGGGTAGAGGTGTTGGCATTATTAGCTGGTGTAGCGGGTGAAGAAGAAATGATCGGATTCTTGTTCTTGAAGAAACGACGGGATATCTTCCCGCGAGCTTGATTGTTCGACGGCGCGTATAGGGCCGTTGGAGAGGAGGTTTGTTGTACATCGAGCTGCTGTTCTTGCTGAAGATGAATTTCTTCATTGCAGAGCATCGAGTAAAAAGTATCCAAGTCAATAGGAAGGAGGGAGTTTCTTATCGTATATTTGAACGAGTTGAATGTGGGTGGCAGGCCATTCAGAATGTGCAGCATGATGTCTTCCGGTTCAATTTTCGAGCCGGAGGAGGAGATGTTGTCAACGATCAATTTGATACGCGTTAGATATTGCTCGAGCGTCTGATCTTTCAAGGTTATCCTGTAGAGTTCGTTCTTGAGTTGCATAACTCGTGAACGACTTGTTGGTTGCAGACGCCGTTCAAGAATGGCCCATGCCTCTGCGGTGGTTGTGGAGGTGATAATGTAGGGAAGAATCGCTTGCAAGATGGTGGAAAATAGAGCCGCAAGAAGATTGCTATCGATGTGATGCCATCTGGAGTAGGCGACGGTGGACTGATCGGCTGGTGCTGGAGTTGCGCCAGTAAGATGACCGGAATATCCATTTGCTGCAAATTATTGATGGATTTGCGTGCGCCATATTGGGTAGTTTTCTACCGTGAGATTATGAGGGGCTAAGTTCTTGATGTTGGAGACAAGAAACTTTAGAGCTTGAGGGATAGGAAGAGAATCAACTGAGATATCCGCTTGAATCGTGGAGGAGGAGGGAGGGATTGCGTTGGCTGAGGCTTGATCCCCCATTCCTAGCTCTGATACCATGAGAAAGGAGCTTCTTAAACATAGAAGCCGGTAGACAGAACCAAGATGAAAGAGAAGGAAAAGATAATATTTTATTGAATGAGATACAATTGTTAATACAAGTATGAGTATATATATACAGCTGTTGACCTCATTTTTGTATGAGGTCACTAAGGCCCTTCCAAACTCCATATTAATTCTAGATCCTAGGATCTACTCTAAGCCTTAAGATCGTTTCCTAGAGCCAGACCTTAGGGCCTACTCTAGAGCCTAGGGTTCCCTTAGATCCTAGATCCTAAAACCCCTCTAGATTTTGGAACCAATCTAGACTCAAATCAATTCCCACCCTTGATCAACTTTGACCTCGAGTCAATTCCTACCTTTGATCAACTCCAACTTCAATTTAATTCCTACCTTTGATCAATCTAAATCTCAAACTTCATTCAACTCAAACCCCAATTAATTCAAGTTTCAAACATATTCAAACTTTGATCCAATCCACTTGAGAATCCAAATTTCAACCTAGACTTTGATCCTACCTTTGATCTAGCTTTGACCATATCCATTCATTAACAATCATCACATGATTGTGAATGATTTGGATACTCCAATATTGATCATCCGAACTCAAAATCTAATCCAAATTCAGAAATCCAG